TATTTTGCTGTTTTAATGTGGAAATCGAGAATTAAACAAAAGATCTCAATTGCTTTCAAACCCTCAAGGAGATATCATCATATGAGTGTGAATACTAGCTTCTGCTTATTTTGATTCAGATACAATACAGATTAGGTCACATTGATCCCTTTACCTGCCTTAAACCATTTTATCCCTCATCGACAAAAAGAACAATTTTTTTGTTAACAAATGATGCCACCAACACACCAATAATCTTAATTGTAAAATAACACATTATCAATCTAAACTAAAATTACAGATATTATCTTGGTCATGTTCTTGCATTATTTTCATCGTACTTATTGAATGCTAAAACGTAGTATAATGATGACTGCTTTCATCGAAGATTAAAAAAATGTCATGAATTAAATATATGGCTTTCGGAGATAAATGTTTCAGTCCGTAATTGGTCCAACAACTAAAGAATTGACAAGCGATTTTCGTAATGAGGATATATTGGTGTATATTAACCTACTTGGGAGTATATTCATTCATAAATATATTGTACCAAATGATGAATTGTGACCTTTGCCGTATTAATGACGTAATAATTATGATTTATGATAGGAGTAAATCAAGTGTAGTCTCAAGCCTCCAGAAAAACTGGGCTTCACAATCAAATATTATCATACGTAATTGGTTTAAAAAAGACTTTCTGGTTTTTGATTATTGCTTGAAGCGTAGAGGATTTTCTTCATCTGTTTTGTAGGAGTCAGAAATGATATTATCATTATTCATTATTGAAAGGGGAAAATTCCGTTCCCTTGTTCACAAATATCAATATAACATTCACGCTCCGGTAAAACGTGAATGAATGAAATTGACTGTATTATTTAACCTGATTTTCATTTCAGGACATAACTGTAAAGGTTTTGTGAGATATTCCATGCAGCTTTCTAACTTTAACTATGTAAATTTTGCAAAGCAATTTGCATAGAAATAAATAAATTTTTTAACTGATCCCCACAGCATACGGCGTAAGTAAAAAAAAAACCAGCGAATAAAGCCTGTTTCCAGAGATGGGAGAGAAATACAGTGGGGGACTATTTAGCTCTAAAATAACCTATAATTTTAACGTATTTTTACGTGATGCTCCCATTCAATCACAGGATTAACAAAAATTGTACATATAGCTTGAAACACTGCTTCATAAAGATTTATTCATTTAATTAATTCATTTCATTCAATAAATACAGCCACTGCAATCAGATTGTATTTTCAAATCGTCTTTCAAATCTACAAATTAATTTCCTTGAAATGAATTCAATTAAGGGAACAATAGAAGACAGAAATTGAAAATTGTTTTAGTTTGACATTTGTCGTTCGGAAGCCATTTCAATTTAATAAAACGGGTTAGCAGTACTGTTCGGGTGATATTTTATTTTCTGATAGAACCATCAGAGGTTACTCTTAATTTATGCAAATGAATTTAAATGGGGTTCTGCACCTGTCAGGCTCTTGAAAACGGTTTCTCAGTGTGCTTCTCAGAACAATCACTTTTCTACTTTCAATTTTCTAGAGATCTTGATCATGAGCAGTCGGGCCACAGTTCATTTTGAGCCACAAGACAATTTTTTACATGTCAGATCTGCATCAATAACGGGGTAAAACCAAATCGAAAAATCTGAAGCTATATCTAACCCACGTCAGGATTGATCAAGCCAGACACTACTGTGCCACTGCGACCACGAGACTATAGTTGAAAGTCTGCAGCTTTTGAGGTCATCTGTCGTCATTAAAAACTTGCTTATAAAAGATTATTTTTTTGTTTACTTTTTTACTTTATTGTGTAGTATATCATTTTTACGAACATAACCTGAATAAAACAAAGTGATATCTATTTATTTATCTATTTAGTAGAATCTAATTTTTGTTCACATATGACAAATGGTACTTGACAGTACTTTTCTTTCCATTTATTTCTCTACAAATAGAATTATATTAGTGTTACTGAATCATAATGAAAGGTTATTGAACTATTAAAACACGCTCTTGGTTCCTGGTTGTCAATGAAATTCTCCTCCATGACTACAAGATGCCAAACTGGAAACAAAGTGAATGTCAAGTAGAAAGTAGGAAATAAAATGAGATTGAAGGAGAAAATAAATAGAAATGTTATCCAATATTATCAAATATAACATTGATATTGACTTTTAGTTTCGTCAGGTATTTGATATTGTTAGTTGTAAAGATCACCAGTTACAGTAAAGTTTATCTTACAAGATACATAGTAACATAAGATTGTTAGTAGTCTGGTATTAAAACCGTATCTTTACTTAGTTTGTCTAAATTCTTTGTACGATTTTACAGTAAAAAAACAATATACCATTTAAAAAAAACCTTAGCTGAAATACAATCAATATTTGAGTAGCCCATTAGCCTGTGCCACTTAGCATCTACCTTGAACCAGTTCCAATTCTGTAAAAAAGTAATGTAATGGTGTAAAAAAAGAAGTTCGTAGATAAAATATTGTTAGTTAGAATATTATAATGGGACCTTCATCTATGGATATTGGTACCTGATATAAAAGTTATATTATTTCGTGGACGAATCCAAAAAAATAGCACGCTACTCTATTTCTTGCGATCGAGACGGTACTCCAAATCATACGGAGGAGGGTATGTCTGCATTCAGTTTTCTACCTGAATAAGTAACTATCACATAATTAATACTTTTCGTTTGTAGGTGATACAATTCCTGATACGATATCACAGAAAAAGCCATAACATCACGTTGCTCTCAACGACATACGAAATGTCATCTACTCGACTTTAATAAACAACCCTAATAATGTAGTTGAATTGCATTGCTAAATCAGGAAAAAAAATCATTGAATGTTTCACATGTTTTTGTTGAATCATTGGTAATGATTAGACCATATAAGAAAGTTTTGGCACTGATGAATTAACAGGTGTGCTATGGAAAAATATCTTTTGTAATTGGGAAGCACCTGAAATATAAAGACTAGCACAAGAGAATCGAACAGATAAGCTTGGTGACTTTGTAATTACAGTGGTAAATGTATATGTTTGTGTGGTATAAAATAGTTGATAAAATTCCTGAAGGAATTCCAATTGACATAACAGATTGGCTTGAAAGAGAACTGAATTAACCTGAAGTTATCTGAAATATTCTAAGAATGATCATCTTATATCGGTGAAATTTGTTTTAACAGAACCCAGGAAGATAAGAATAAATCTGAACTATATATAAAATAATTACCTCCAAACATTATCTTTATAATTATATTGATAAAATATAATATTCATATTTATATAGATCCCCGGAGAATCCGATTTCATTTCATAGTTTGATACAATTCTTCTGTGAAAACGATTTTGTAGGAGTTGTTTGGAGTGATAAAGTTAATATTTGATTTACAATTTACATTTTATAACTATTTAATTGTATATCTTTAATTAATATTCCACGAAACTCATTCTGCAGATCTTTATAGTTGAAGAAGATAAACTAAGTTAATTTATGGATAGCGAAAATTGTTGGCTTTAAGTTGGTATAAAGAATATGGTACGATGAGGACAATTTTTGCAGCTTATATGATACTCATTAATACAGATTTGCGAGCACTGTAAGAACAATTAAAGCTCTTGGATGACGTTTTACAAGCATCAGTGAAAGGAATTAACGAACTTGAATAGTTTTGATCACAGGCCAGGTCTGTTTTGACCAATATTATTTGGTCCTAGCCAATCTTGACGTCAACCTCCTATACGGAATATATGATAATCATTTATACCTACATTGGTAAGAAAAATGCTATGGAGATCTTATAATTAAAAGTCATTACTATTTTCAATGTTCATGTAAAAATTAATCAAAATTAAATGTTAGAGCACTACAAAAGAAATAGGGTTATGCCAGACAGCGAGACAAAGTTATCGAGATTGTTGTAATAAGTCCCACGTTTTGGCCCGCTTAAAATATTATAAAATCACTGTTTTGAGCCATAACAAGCACCATAACAGTTCAACATAAAAAATGTCTGGGGAAAGGCAATTTGAAACATATCGGAGAGGGTGAATAACCAAGAGTAATGATAGGTCAGGAGCGTCATAACGATCACCATGTTAGGTCAGGTCCTATATTTGTTTGAAAGATGAGATATTACATGTCAAAACTGAGATGAAATTGAAAGATGATATTTGTTTAATTAAATTGTATTATATATAGAAATCTATACATCTATACTTTTTTTCTATCAATGCTTGACGGCACGTTCAACTTCTGAATTAGAAATTTACAAAATTTTTATTTCAAATTTCAGATATGCCATCGGGTCAGTCAGACACATGCCATAAACAGTATAAAACAGATTTTGTTGGGGACATGTAGATTATTTTGTGGCGGTAGTACATGGGAAAAGGCAAGAAATTGCACCCAGGCTTCAACAATTTAACCACATCTAACCTGGCTGCCAAAAAGACATAAAACATTCCTAACAATAAAACTTTTCAGTCTTCAACAAAGTTTCTACTTTCAATTAATTAGGAAATTTAAACAAATATTTAAATGACCTTTAGAACAATTTCATAGAGGTATAATTGCCCTTGAAATAGCCTAAATCCACTCTGATCATCGGTTTTGCATGAATTTTGGTATGTATAAGTATGTGCATAGAATCTAAGATGATTTGGTGTATCAATGAAACCACGGATGAGTTTGATTCTCATGATGTTTTCGATAAAACAGTTTTTTCAAGCAATATTACTGAGGATGTCAAAGGAAGTCTTCACGTCACACGTGTTCATGTTTGAGACACAGTGCTCTATATCACCAGACTTTACACAGTGATTTAATATTTAGTTATATATAGGAAAATAAACCACATTTAACATGTAGTCAATTACATGGGTCTGAGAATTATGTTTACAATTTCCACAAGGTCATTCTTTCGTCTGCTCTCGGAATATATTTTGTAAAACTATTAAGAAATATTGTGGCTATTTGCAACTTTTTAAAAAACTCACCTTAAATTCTTTTTCTACTTCTTGAAGTTTCATCATCTCTTGTCGTAATTCAAATGTATTCATGATAGGATCAGGACTAGAGAGGGCCATGTAAGCTGGACTAGCTAGTGCTCGATATGCGTTTAATCTGGATCGAGATCTTTTCAAAGAATCATAGTTCTGTTTAGTAGCACAGTCGGCACAAGTACAGGATATTGGATGAGGTTTAGGTATTGTATGATTTCGAGATATAAACATTTGAATAATTTCATGGTTATTATAATGTGCTGCAAGAATAAGAGGAGTTATATCCGGGGGAAACTGGCTCTTCTCCTCCGTCCTAAAGAAGGCATCACCACCTCCTTGCCTTTTTAATTTCACCTCACCGGCCATGAAATTTGGATGCTCTATTATAATTTTCACAATTTTCACAGCACCTTTACTGATTGCGTGTAGTAAGGCCTCATCAATACAATTAAAACTGAGATTATCCAAAAGAATTTCGATGACATCCATTTTTTCACTATCAATGGCTAAATGTAGAGCATTACGGCCCATGTAATCAACACAATTGATATTTAGATTGGATTCCACCCGGTCCTCTAGGGACATTCGTACCACCCCAACATCTCCTAAATACGCTGCATTCAGGAATACTCTTTCTTCGTCCGTAAGCTGAAAAATAAAGAACAAATTAAAGAAAGTTTTGGTATGGACAAGCAGCTTATTCATAAGACACAAATAACATATTGTAACATCATATTATGGCTATGTCGTATAGACATACTGTTGTTTTGCAAGATCAGTATTCTCCATTGGGTGAAATATAAGGTATATGTAGGTTTTTGTAGGGTATGGGATTTTTGATATGATACAGAATCAAATACATCAGTTCCACAGTAAATGTTGTTTTGGATTAACTGGAATTAACTGGATTAACATGAACTTTTGGCCATCACTACACTAATTGAATTTCTCTCCAATCTATTAGACAATTATCTATAACAGAACTCCATCAGTTGATAAAAACTGCTGAAACCTTTTATCTACCAACCAGACTGCATTAGCTGCATCAAAGTTCTAATGATTGTTTGCTTATCATTTAATCTGTTTTCTTAGAAAAACGTTTTTTCATTAAAATCATTCTGTTCTGTAATTTGTGTAGACAACTGAATGTACAGGGGAGCAGTTTGTAATCAATTTATTTACCATAGTTAACTAATCTCGCGGCAATTGGAACATTTATCTCCACATTGTAAACACGCAAGTACTGGAGGTCAACTCGACCATCATCAACTTAAATAAAATCACACTATTTACTTGAATAATTTTTGTAAAAATCATTCATTTACGAGTTTGAAGTTTGATATTTTATTTTTGATGTCAAGTACTGAGGATCTCAAATTATATCTCTATTTTGATGAAATCAGACAACCACGTAGCGTTCAAATCTGATTAAAGTGGTCTAATCCACCACTGAATTGATCATTGGTCTGTGTGGCAGTCCAGAAATATTTCATGAAAAAACACATTAGGTTTCACTGATAAATCAACAATGGTATTATGTGCTACACACAAAGTATAAGGTATGGTCCCATGACAGTTGCAAAGAGGTGAGTAAAAGCACGGTTGCTGTTATTATATTCTGAAGTACAGTGAGGTCTTAAAACAATTTCTCATTTTGGAATTGGCTGGGGTAGGACATTCAGTCATTCAGTCTTTGAGAAGGAATCACGTCGGAACTTGAAGAAGTTCTCAGGTAGACACTTTAAATCAGTGTAGACTCATCAATTATATGAAAATAAATAGAAAGTGTTGTATATTTAACCTGACTACAATTCATTGTATCTTGGGAAAGCGAATAGCAATAGACCATATCCAGTCCGTCGGTAAAATCAGCAAGATTACAACAATATATTTTAGCAGAAGGTAGCGGCCGAAAAAATATCATACATTAAAATGACTGTGATTGTGAAATTTAAAACAATGATTCTGTAGGGCTCTCGACATTTCTACACCAAATAAGCTAAACAAATTTGTAAGATTTGCAATAATGTGACTTTATTCTCACGAGACGGAGGATCTTCTATGATTCTAAATAAAGTTAAAGATCGACAAAAACTACGTATCTTATTTAATAAAGTATATTTCCGAATCAGTGAGTTTTTTCCAAGATCACCATTAATGTTCGTAAGTAAAGGTTATGTCAAATATGAATTTGGTTATTTTGAATGATTTCTTATAAGTTTAATTTGTCTATTCATGACGACATGGAATGATCGAGCTTAGTTTCCAAATCGATATTTTTCATCAAAATATTACAGTCATAAAAGCGTCTTGTTGAAGCAATCATTTCTATATTGGGGAAAATCTATCATGTTAGAAGAATTCAATCATTATTCTGAATCAATTTTCAAACTGTCAAATAACACACCATATTATATGTTCCCGGAAGTAAACAGGAACCAATAAAGTTTATGCAGTGGTAAAATTTTGGAGACAAAGAACTGTATAAATATTTCTATATTGCTCTACAACATGGCGTTCATATGAATCACTAGTTGAATGGGCCACATAATTTTTCAGGGGGAGACTCACAAGCAGTTCTTTCACTACTTGACTCGGGTAACAGTAAGAAAGAAAGAAAGAAAAAAACCTTTTTACAAGAATTAAAACTTGGGTTCACGAGGATCATTTGTACCCGATGGTCCTTGGCCGACCCTCTTGGCATTGGTCGGAAAAGTTTTTTAACCCCTAAAATCAGCAGTCGAATTGGTCATCATTATTAATAACAATAAGAGAGGTCCCTAAATTTATATGAGAAGCACAAGCTTTTTAACGTTTCTAAGACAGATTTCATGAAGACTAATTGGCCAGTATTCATCTCTATTGAATAAATGTTTTAAAATACAGATAACTTTCAAACAATAAACACTTTCATAATTTCCTGAGAGATTTAAAATTATTCATATCTCTTTCAATATTTCCACGAATTTAATAAACTAGATATATTTGATAATTGGTGACTATTCTGTCTGATCTGAACTGACATAAAATACAATTTTGTGAAATAAACTTTCATTTCAGGCACAACCAATCATGTGCAATCTGATAGTAACCCAGGTCTGTATCCCTCACAAATCCCTCAAATCGTCGAAATGAAAATTTTATGAAGAATATTGGTTAATACACAAAGTGACTTCAAAGGAAAAGTAAGACAAGAAATGAACCTTTCTGCTGTCAAAAGAGAACTATCTGTGAAAACCTGGGAAACATTATCTCTAAATTACTGAAGTTAAATTTCGACATCCTTTTATCATGTAATTGAGTGCATGAAGAAATTAATAAAAATGAAAAACAAGTTGTTAAAAATTTAATAGTATATAAGATATGATATAAAAAAAACGCAGTAAAAACACGAGGTCGAAAGGTACTTTCCAAATACAATAGATAAAAGAGAACGCTGGTTTACAAGTTTGGTAAACCTTGATAGAACTATCGTTGCAAAGATATCCACATAAAGCTTTTAATCCTTTGAAAAACCACACAAAGCTATTGGCGCACATATCAACAAAACGCCTAAGCAGTTTAACCGCCACAACAGAGCTTTTACGAGTTATACTTCTCGGTGCGAAAGGTGGGAAGGGAAATTATTTTGGAGACACAAAATAAAACTTGTCGTATCGCACTTTTTCGAAACATTAGCAAAATATTCGAAATGAAATTTTATTCAATGAAAAAAATATCAATATCCAGTTGACGTTGTTTATTTTGTTGTAAAAAATGTTAACTTAAAATATGGTGATTGGACTTATGAATTTTATAATAAAATGGTAATTTCGCCAGCGTTTTGAAGACATTTTTTAAACCTATCCCATTCAAACTTTATTAAATTCATATAAATAAACCAAGTAATAACGATCCAAACCATAAACGAAACCTGAAATCCAAAACAACATTTTGGCGAAACATTCAAATTGTTATCAACTAATGAAGATTTCCCATGATAACAAAAAAATAACCTATAAATATTGTTCCTCATTTCACGTTGAAAGATTTTTAAGTCAAAATAGTTAAATCAGCATAGCTTTCAATCAATGTCATGGTAGCAACACTTCTTAAGTCATCGTATCACCCAGACTGAAATAACCATATCTTACACGAATAGGAGAATATGTGAAGTAAAGTTAATTATATTACGGCTTGATTGAATAGTTTGTGCCTGAGTATGGTCGTAATGACAATATATAATATATGTACATTTAATATTGTATGATCAGCTTAAATAACGTATTGTAAAAATGGTCAATATTTAAATTGAAATATGTGTTGACACCACAACAAGTCATTGCCCTGTTTTCATAAGAACCATTAATCACACGATCTCCTAATGTTACAATGCGCAATTGAAAACTTTGCTTTATTGATTGGAAATAGGGACTTCAAGACTTTCTTTTTTCTGGTTTAAAAATCATTGCAAAGCTGTTCAATTTATCTACTAAGATGACTTATCAATGAATACTCGTAACAAGGCTCAATAACCACCAGTTTCTGAACATCTCAAGATACAGGCGGAAGTATTTTCTCAAATGAAATCAATTTAGGAGAAAAAGCATCAAATCATGGTTATTGGATGTAATTTGATGGTAATTTCCGTCGTTTGAAATCAACCAGTTGAACATCGCGTGTCGTTTCAACAACTTTTCTGGACTCTTCACTTTCAGCAAATTAGATTGTACTTTTTAAACACCATGTCTTTTACTAGATTAATAACAGGAACGTTTAACTTTACATTTCATTCAATTTGTTAACTTTAACATTTGATTGATTTTCCTTGTGAGGTTGGGTGATTTGAAGAACCAATGACTGGAATATATTTTCCGTTGTATCTTGTGTAACAATAAGCAAATTATTTGGAATGATTCAGTTATGTTCTGGAAAATTAATATTAGAAAGGTATCTCTCCTATTGTACAACCTATGACTGTGATCAGTTGAAACTTGAATCGTGATTTTACTGCTCATATATTATTGACACTTTTAATTCATCAATTTCCATAGCGTTCGAAATTTCTTGTAATGCAGTTTAAATCAAATCCCTCCCCAAAAAGAAGATTTTAGTTTTATAGAAGAGAGAAGATTGTTATATATCAAAGTCTCTGATGTATATTTCCTTTCTAAAATTCGTTACAACTTATGGATTGACTTATTTTTTCTGAAAAAAAGCTGATATAAATCCTATTTAGAATTCTATTGGGGAATACATTGTCTACTTTGACAAATTGAAACGGTTTTTAAAAAGATGTACTCGCAGTTTTTGGACATAAGATGTATTGAACTGACAGAAGAAGAAAATCGACATTTCAGTGAAAGCGGATGTTACTTTTTCATTGAGTATCGGAAGTTGTATTTTGAACGATAATTTCTTTCAAAGTTTAGGTGCTGCGTAGACTGCATCATGAAACACTGGTATTGACCCTACTTGAACCCTGACCTCTGACAAACCAGAAGTTTAAATTTCTGTGGTTTATAAAGTAAAAACTGTCCTGAAGCTGAAAAAGAAAGTCTAAGTTTAAATATCGCCGTATATAAGTTGATTAGGATGTAATTGATGTCATTATATATAACAAGTTTATTATGTAGATGGTAATATTGACTTAACTCACGATAAAACCT